AATTCCGGAAACAGAATGTTAATCAAAATAGAAATGGTAGAAGCTATTAATTTTGCAACTACTTAACCTTGTTTCCTGTATGTAATGTCTCTAAATTAATGCTTTCTCATGTTTTACCTTCATTTCAGGATCCCTACAAATCTTTCGGTCTGCCATCTATTGGTAGATTGTCTCAATACCAAGAACCACTACATGTGTCCAATGTAAGTGACCTGGGCTCTGATTTTCGTAGGTGCTGAGAACTTCAGATCTTCACAGGTGCTTAGTCCCTCTGACAATCAGGCCCTTAGTTTCTATCATTTGTTAAAGGTGGTTAATACTATTATTTGTGCTAATTTAAGATAAGATGATAAAAAATACAGTACTGACCAAATTGGACTATAAAGCTATAAAGTTTTGTTCTGTTTAATCCTTTCAAACAAGCCTCAAATAAAAATATGCTGTAGAGCAAATAGCATAATCAGATGTTGAATTAACTCTTTAACTGCAAAGGACTGAATACTTCAAAGAGAAGCTGGACTGCTATTCAAATTCGCAGCCTTTAAAAAGCAAATGCCGTTTGTTACAATTGAAGAAAAGTGATTATTAAACATAGTCTAACTATGCAGAGTGGCCGCTTAACAGTTTTTTGCTCCAATAAAAGAACAGGGACATCTCCTTTTTGTATAATCAAAGTAATAAGTAATAAATCCACTGTGTCAGCTGGTGGAAGGACAAGACTATACCATCTGTGAATATGATTATTCAGTGTGATTACTTGCATGGAAAATAGTGAAAGATTACAGGAGGAATCCTAAATTTGGAGATGTTATTGGATATATGATTTATTTCACTTCCTAAATTGTTTTTGCCCATATGCTTTCTAAAGGGACCTGACCCTTTCTGGGCTTTCAGGCTTCATGCTGTGTTCAAAGCCTGAAAGCAGAAGAAAAAATTGTAAAGATTTAACAGGCATTATGTAACGTTAAATAGAAGATAAGAAAACATACATCATGGGATGTATCTAAACATTTTTTTTAATGAAACAAAGAGTGTATTTAATAAGAATTTATAATGATTACTCTAGTGGTTGTTAGACATTTTTACCATGTTGTAATAGCTAACAGGATGTCAAACATTTTGCCCTTGCAAGTTTTTGCAATTTGCAATTTTCCAAACGTGAGACCTGTTGAAAGTACAAGTGATAATGGACAAACTATACCCCCTACAGTCTTTGTCCCACCAAATCTTTCTTCAATTAATGTTGCAGCAGGAGTTTTATGTAATAACATTTGCGCTTGTGAGCCATCCATAGAAAGAAAAAACAATTAAAATGCCTTAAATGTTCTGCTTACTGCTGTTATTTGCTTGTGTGAATGTTGCATGTCAGCTAAATGGACCACGGAACAGATAAAGTGATTGGGTGCAGGAGAGTGCACACCAAGCTTTGTCTATCATTATTGCTGGGAGCAATCAAATTGATGCCAGCAGGACAGTAGACGCGTTGACAGCTGTAATTATGTATCTCCATGGTGATCACTTTTGGCCTGTCATGGAGGCCCACAAGTCCCCTCCCTTGCAAGCATTTAATCAGATTGGGCTGTCACTTGTCAGGTAGACAGGGCGGGCTGGGAGTTGTGCTTAGGGGGAGAGGTGAATTGAAAATGAAGGGTGGGAGACGGCTGATAGCTTCACGTGGCCCATCGTGGTACTGAAGAAAGAAATTTTAATTATGCTGGAGGCTTCAGAGAAATGGTTTGAGGATCTCATACAGAGTAGCTGGGCTGTTTTCTTTCTGTTTACTCTCGTTGTCTTATTAAAAAAAAGCTGTTCTATTTTTATTTAGCAAACCATATTTTTGGTCTGTTCCTCTGTAGCAGCAGAAAATGTGCAGTACTGGAGATTAATTTGTCTTCTGAGGATGTCACATAATTAAGAATAAAATTGATTTGACTGAAGAATTTGGATATTATATTGAAGCTATTGGTGCTTCACCATTTCTTTTATAAATTCCTGTTTTCAAAAGATAATAAGTTGTCTGTAAAAATTTGCTGTGAGCTAAAATTTGGCATAGAAGGTCTCAGTCATGGTATCTTACAAATGTGATTTTGAATTAGTTTGGTTGTTTTTCAAATTAAAGGAGGTAGGGGTGTGTGGATGGGTGGGTTGATAGGGGAAGTAGAAAAGCAACTAGGAAAGTTAGGAAGACGCGGCATTGGGGAAATGTTTTTCCTATGCTCTAAGAATTCTATACTGGGTTTGAGATTGTAATAATTTTTAAATGTACCAGCTGCTAGTTCAGAGTATGATTTTTAGGGCTAGTGAGTATTCGATTTTTAAAAAAACTTAAAATGAGGTAGCTACAAAGAAATAAGTATCATCAAGATTGTGACAGTAGAAACTTATTACTCTTGCATGTTGTAACAAACTGACTGTACTGCAGTTGGCATTAAGATTTGAAGAGCTCCAAAGCCATTCTTCGCTAATGTGATCAACAATCCATTCTTTAAGGGTGCTGATGTTGACATAGTCGGTGGGAGTGAGCTTCCCAGCTCAAGTCAACAGAGTTGGGCTAATGGGGCTTATGCTAGAGCTCTCAAAATAGCTGTGAAGACAGCACATTGAAGTTGGGGCTGGAGCTTGGGCTCTGAAGTCTGGGGAGGGTGGAGTAGGTCTGTCTGTCTCTTAGACCCCAGTATTGCAGTGAACTGTGTATGGGTGGAACTCTGTCAGCATGAAGTCCTACTAACTTATGCACCCAAAGTGGTGTGCCAGTGCACTGTTCATTGCAGGATTGGAGCCAGAGGTCATGAGGAGAGTCTGAGGGAACTGGGCTTATTTAGTCTGCAGAAGAGAAGAGTGAGGGGGGATTTGATAGCAGCCTTCAACTACCTGAAGTGGGGCTCCAAAGGGGATGGAGCTAGACTGTTCTGATGGTGGCAGATGACAGAACAAGGAGCAATGGTCTCAAGTTGCAGTGGGGGAGGTCTAGGTTGGATATTGGGAAAAACTATTTCACTAGGAGGGTGGTGAAGCACTGGAATGGGTTACCTAGGGAGGTGGTGGAATCTCCATCATTAGAGGTTTTTAAGGCCCGGTTTGACACAGCCCTGGGTGGGATGATTTAGTTGGGGTTGGACTAGATGACCTCCTGAGATCTCTTCCAACCCTAATCTTCTATGATTCTATGTTTTCCTAGAGCACCTAACATTAAAATATAGTAATATACAATCGCACCACTATACTACACCACTGGAACTGTTTGGGCTATGAAAGGATCTTGACTTGTATACTCCCTGTAGTATTTTTTTTAAATACTGAGAAAAGGAAAAACATTAAGTAAAAGTAATGCTAATAAGTATTACAATAAGTATTACTATTAGCTATCAAGATAAACACACTAGAGCAAGGATCCTTTAAAATAAAGGTTTCTGTTATATCCAGTTTTGCACACTATAGTTTACAGGATCACGTATTGTTATCAGTCCCCGATATACCTAAGCACAACAGAGAATTGAAAATGGTAAAATTATTTCCTTTCTGCTATCAGTTTGTCATTTTTATATAGCTTTTCTGTGTTTATTTTATGAAGAATAAATTTTAGAAGGAAGGAAAGCTTTTATTATATACAAACTGGCCCCAGGTACTTTTTTTCATAATTTTATGAAATTATAAAGCAAATTTTCAAGAACCTTTTCTTTAGTTCCTTGTTTTTCAGTATATTTGAATTTTTAAATTTGTGCGGATATATCCAAGTACATTACGTATAAGTTTGTGTATACAGTATATACAGTGGAAGCATTGTTTAGTGCACTAAGCATGTAATGGGGAGCCAGGAAGTTCTGATTTCTAATCCTGGTTCTTCCACTAACAGCCAATCGCTGAACTTCTTTTGGCCAAAATCAGCACTGGCATAAACAGTGCCTACTCCTATTTACAGTTGCATCTGCTTATTTCACATCTGAATTTGGCCTTTCTTTATATGTTTTCTCGTAAAATTGGGATAATAATATTTGTATACCTCACAGAGGTGTTGTGAGGATTAATTACTTTACATTTGTTTGTTGCTTTGGACATGAAAAGTGCTATATAAATGCCATGTATTATTAGAATATGTACACAGGTATGCTACATGTTATATATGTGTATGTATTGTGCCGTACAAGAAGCAATATGCTGCCTCTAGGGAACAGTCTTGACTGGCAGTGGGATGGATTAGATATCTTACTAGTTCTTTCTTATCTCTGTGCATGGATGTATTCATTCATGTATGTATGTACCTGTACAGAGAGGAAGGATGCCTTAATAGTTATAAGAATGGGAATCAGGAAATCTGAATTTCCTGCTACATATTTCCTTTGTGACCTTGCCCTTCCTCATCATCTGTAAAATGGGGATGATAATGCCATCTAACTCACAGTTCTGTTGTAGGGCTAGCTAATTGTTTATAAAGCATCTTGATTTCTTATAATGAAGGTGCCGTTGAACTGCAAATACAAATATATTACGTGTATATTAATAAATATTCAATTAAAGTGTTTAAAAAAGAAAATGATCATTAAACCCATGTTAGGATGTAGTTGTCATTGAAGAAAGAGAATAAAGCTGCTGGGATATCTTTTAGGTTATTTGGATAATAAAGTCATCATCCTGTCCTCATGTGGATTCTTTAGACAAGAGGTTCTACATGTGGTCCCTTGGTAATTGCCTAAATTAAAATATTAAAGGCCTAACAGCCGTTGTGTTGACCTTTTTTTGCCTTGCTGCAATCAGATGAGCTGCTGTTTATTAGAAAGATTCCTTCCCACAGGTGGAGATTTAAGTGAGTTTCTAGGTCCCACTTGCCACCCCCTTTACGATGTAAAATATCAAAGCCCTGGTGGTTTCAGCAACTTCAATTGGATTCCTCTGTCCTTAAGATCACTGGGATGCATTTATCAGTCTTGAATTACTTTGATTAAAAAAACACTAAAGTGCTTTAGATTCCAGAGTTCAACAGCAACAATTTAATAAATATTTATTTCCCAGAAATTGCTCATTTTAAAAGTTTTATGTGGCTAACCTCAATGCCTCACTGGTGAAATCAAACTGAGAGATGAAAACAAGAATCAGCAATATACTAACTGACTTGTTGGCTGGTTAACAGCAATCAGTTTCTTCAAAAGAAATTTTTGAACTTGTGCTATTTTTTCCCTATGAAAATTGCGGAATCAGAGCTTTAATTGGGGCTGTGTCCTTACAAAGCAAAGCCATGGAAAAAGCTGTGTAAACATTAAACACCCAGGGGTACAGCAGCAACAGAAAAAAAAATGTTTTACAGTCGAGAGGGTGAGGCAGAAAAGGAAAGTGTTACAGACATGAAAGCTACAAGACTAGTATTCCTATAGAGCTGATAAGCAGAGCTCCAAAGTTCCTGCTGAATGAGCCTTAGTTGTGTCCCCACTGGAGCCCTCAGAAGGGCTATAGTGGGACACAAGGGATGTGATTACATACATACTCAGAAAAGATGCGATTACAAGGGGCATCTTTCATGCCAGGTGTCAGTTGGTGAATAATTACAAGTGTATTTTATTGCAGTAATTAAGTCAGCATTGGTTGCATTCAGAGTTCAGATTTAGAGTTGTATAAACCACTATAAATTGATAGAGTGATCAAAACCCAAATCTGGTTGCTCTGGATTTTACAAGAAAAAAGTGACTTTGGCTAACAGTTTGCATTCATGTTTTTTTTAAGAGGAGAGTAATTCATAGGTATTTTTCCCACAAGGGGGAAGTGGGAGGGGATTTTCTAGCCCTTGGTGAAAAGAATATTTTATCTTCTCATGAAACTTGTTAGGTTTAAAAGTATGAGATGTATGTCCTCTATGAGGTCAAAACTTGGTTTTTGTTCCACTGTGAAATTATATTTGCTCCTTTTTTATTTTTTGAAGGTACGTGTTGACAGTGGCATACAAGAAGGAAGTGATATTAGCATTTATTATGATCCCATGATCTCAAAAGTGAGTTGATATTTTTTTAACGTTTTAATATATGAAATACTAGTTTTAGATACAAAATTTTTAAATGAGAGATTTTTTAGTAATGAGCCAATATTTCAAAGCTGCTGGATGTGATGTGCATAAAGGAAACATGAGAGAAAAGAGGCTATATTGAAAATGAAGCTTAATCTGGAAGAAAATTTACAAATATGTCTGATCTCACATGGTGTCAAGTATCAGGGGGTAGCCGTGTTAGTCTGTATCTACAGAAACAACAAGGAGTCTGGTGGCACCTTAAAGACTAACAGATTTATTTGGGCATAAGCTTTCATGGGTAAAAACCTATACATCTGAAGAAGTGAGGTTTTTACCCACGAA